TGTTGTGGTCAGGTTGATGAGGGATGGGAGGCAGAGGAGAAGGAGTCTGTAGAGAAATTCCCCAAACGAAGGAAAATATCCTTTATATCCTTTTAAGGAATGACAGGAAGTTCTATGCCGTGTAACGTAAGTCTGGGTTAGCCTACAAGACATTGAGCTTGGGGGACTGGGTTCAGGGTAGGACCATCAATTAGAGGATATAAAACCATAGCACAGATAGCATTTGAACTCAATTTTAAAGAGCTTGGGAAGGAAACAGGACCTAACTTCTGTTTCTGTGAGATCTGGTCCCTTAGAGTGACAGGACCCATGAGAACACATTGGGGGCTTTCTTTGGAACATTGTAAGCTTGCTATACTGGTGTAGTTCATCCTCCACCATGGAGGAAATGGTGTGGAGAAGGCTGAAGCCACACACTGGAAGTAGCTAATAGTGAGAGGGGATGGTGAGGAGTGAGTTCAAGGAAGATACATTCATTGGCAGGCATAATGGGGTCATGACATGATGGGGAGTTTGTTTCCTTGTGGTAGAGAAGAATGAAGGACAAGGCTGAACAAGCCTTGCCATGTGGCTGAAAGCCAAAGAGAGGCACACAAAGTAACATGAACTGGGAGGCAGGAAAAGAAGGGTCCATCCCTCTGTGTGAAGCTGACCAGGAATGGCTGAGACAAAGCTGCAGTCTGAAGTGCTGTGGCTGTTAACAGTATCCCAGGCAGATCACTTACTCCATTTTTGCAACAGCTTCCTTCCCCAGGCATGGAGCAAACACAGCTTCTTGGCGGTAAGCTGACTTTGCAGTAGCTGTTGAGCACACCTGCCATGTGTTTGGGGGAAGTAATTGAATTGGCTCTCATCTTCCTTCTAGAAGGACGAGCTCCACTGCTTAAAATGTTGGTCTCATCATTTGCCTTTGAATCGGATCTGATGATCTGAACAAATTCTTGATTGTAGGCATCAAAGGAGCATTCTAGCATTAGGAAGACAAGATCTACGGAGCTCGTGTATTCCAGGCCTCTCTGGCCAGCAGTGGTACCATCAATGGAAAACACTCTTGGCACTAATAGGGCTATTACTACCTGACAGACAGTCTATTACCCTCTTCATCACTGTCTGCAGCAGGAACTTCTGTCTCAATTCTAATTTTATCTCTGCCTCTCCTAGGTCGGGTAGGGATACAGGAAGAACACGTAGGTATCCTTGTAACTTGATGAGCTCTGAGTAGCTGCAGCGCTCCACCTCTCCCATTTTTGCCTTTTCTTTCCATAGCTATTTAATTATATGTTACTCCTCTCTGACCTTCTACAGTTTTTTTTCCATATTCTTGGCAAATTGTGGACTTGGAATGACAAAACCTGTCAATTAAATGGGTCAGCAGTTTCATGGTTTGGCCATTTCACAGCTAGCTTGATTCACAACCCTTTTCCTTATAGGCATGGCATAAAATAAACCTACAGAACTACTGAGCCCCTGAACATGACACAGCTCCTCACAGGACGCTGGAGTTGGGCAAAACTAGCTCAAACTAAGACCAATAGTCAAGGGACAGAGGCTCTGACATTATTTTCTATTGTGCTCCCTTCCCTGAGCCACAAATGGGCCTGGTCAGATGTCCCTACAGAGGAAGCATTCCTCATTTGAGCTTGAATATCCTTCTCTGAATGTTCTGGCATGGCCCTTGTGTATCAGGGGCCCCTGTGTATCAACGCCGGGAGGCAGGAAGCCTTCTGTGTCTATAGAAGCATGGAGAGACAGTGTTAGATTTTATAGAATCCACCACCCCACTCCAGGTAGGGTAGCATATGCAGTAATTTGGATCTTAAATGTCTCCAATGCATTGAAATCTCAGTCTCTTGGCTGGTGCTACTGGGAGTGGTCGCTGTGAGAGGTCATGTGGGAGGCCCATAGGTGGTTGGACAAAGCTCTTGAAGGGTTTGGTGGAACCTTCTTCCCTTCCCTCCTTTGCTTTCTGGCCCTGAGGCCATTCTTCTTTCCACACCTTAACTATGCTTTGCTGTCCTTACCACAGGTCTGGGCAGTAGGGCTAGCTAGTCATACACCAAGACCTCCAGCACTGTAAGCTGAAGGTGTGTGTGTGTGTGTGTGTGTGTGTGTGTGTGTTTAGTATTTGCATGAGTATGTGTTCATGTTTATGCACACACACACACACACACACCTTCAGCTTACAGTGCTGGAGGTCTCAGGTATTTTGTAATCTGATATGTATAGTAGACTACATACTAATCAACTATTACTACTACTGCAGCAGAACCCCATGGCTTAGATAATGTAAATGTTTTCTCAGTTCTAGAGGTTACAAAGGCCAAGGCCGAGGTGCCATCATGGTTTGTGTCTCATGGTTTGTGGACATTCACCTGTTGATGACCCACAAGAGGGTGGAGAGGCGTGAGAGGAGGGAGAGGGATAGCCTCCTCCTAAGGGCAGTTATCATATAGGTAGGGGCAAGTGAATAAGCCTAATGTCTGGGCATAGAGGAAAGCAGGGACATTCTAATGGCTCACCAAACAGATGATTCAGCCCAGCTTTGCCTCTTACTGACCCTTGAACTATATAATGAGCTCAGAAAATGATGGCAACCTTGGTGGGAATTTCAAATCAACCCAAAGAGGGGAATTTGGAGGTGGAGGAATGGAGTTGGAGTTTGACGTGTCAAGCAGGAGATGGTGTTAGGATTTGTAACAAGATGTCTGCTATAGAAGTGGCCCTGTGATCATGTGTCTTTCTGACAGTGATGGATCTGGCCTCACAGAGGCTGTTGGGGGATGTTTGGGTCTTAGATCTAGAAATCAAGTGCATGGTTCTGGGAACCTTTGGGAGACTTCGACTCAGATGCCCAAATGCCAGGGAGACTGAAACCAAAGGCCTCACCAGCATCAGAGAGAGAATATCAGAAAGGGGATGCTGGACAGCACAGGGAGGCGGTAAAGGTTGTAGTTAACTGTCAGTGCTGACTGGAGGATTCATGTGCATTGACTAAAGACTATGTGGGGCAAGATGTAGTTCTGCTGGCTTCAGGCTGTGCCCGTGGTGGTTTGAATGAGAATAACCTCCAAAGGCCCATAGGTTTGAATGCTTAATTATCACTTGGTAGACCATTTGGGAAGGAGTAGGAGGTGTGGCTTTGTTGGAGGAGATGTGTCACTGGGGGTGGGCTCTCATGATTTAAAAGCTCATACCAGGCACTGTCTGTCTGTCTCTCTATGTGTGTTTCTCTCCCTCGCTCCCTCCCTGTGTCTGTATCTCTATCTGCTCTTTCTCTGTCTCTCTTTCCCTCTCCTTCCCTTCCCTCCCCCACCCTCTGTCTGTCTTTCTCTCCTTCTTTCCCTCTCTCCCTCTCTCTGCCTGCTGCCTGTGCAGGCTAAATTGCTCCAGCACCATGCCTGCCTGCTTCCCACCATGATGATCATGGACTAACCCTCTAAATCTGTAAGGAAGCCCCCAATTAAATGCTTTCTTTGTAAGAGTTACTTTGATCTTGTCTATTCACAGCAACACAACAGTAACTAAGATAGCAGACTTTGTAGCTCTATCATTAGCTTGGTCCTCAAAGTCTGCCTGGCCCTTGTGGAGTCCCAGGGGAAATGTATCCAAGGCTTCCAGTTTGGTGTTTGGCTGCCTGCCCCAATCTCTCAGTGGCAGGTTTGTGTGGTCCATCTTTCTAGGATCTTATGTCCAAATAGTTTATTTATGCTAAAGCCTCCTGAATAATTGTCTTGAATAGCAAGCCAGAGCCTCCTGTCCTAGATCTGTTTAAATACAGGGGTAGACTTGTGAGAGGATGAGATTCAGTCATGAGTGGCCAGGAAGGAGTAGCATTGTTTTAGAAACTTAAGATTATAAGAGGAACACCAAGTGATGGAAGTGATGGCCTCAGAATGTATTGAGTGGGAGAGCAATTGGTACCAGGAACAGAAGCCACAGACAGTGAGATGCCTAGCAGACAGGACAGAGCTCTGGGCTGTGAAGGGTTCTTGGGACTGCAATGTGAATGAGAAGAGGAGACAAAAGTCTTGGGAACCTGGGATCATGGATTAGGACTCTAAAAGGATGCTGAAGAGAACAGTTTGGGAAATGGGAAGAGCGTGAGAGCGTGAAGTGATGGAGAATTGCAGAGCCTGGGGGGGGGGGAATCTCTTCGGTGGATAGTCTTTTGATGGATGATGTGGAACAGCCCCTTGCAGCATTTGGTGACCTTTATGCAACCTTGAGAAGCAGATTTTCTGTTAAGTTGTAGAAGCTGAATACAGATGTTGGACAGGAAGTAGCTTTGTCTCCATAGTCGTTGGTTATTCCTGGAACCAAAGAGACTAAGAATATGGGAACAGAGCCAGGGTCTTCCCTGATAAGTGTAGGCTTTAGGAAAAGATGGACCTGAGCTAGATAAACACCACACATTTGAACAACGGTTTTCTAAGGTACACACACAGTGTGTCTGTCAGCGTGATAAAGGTGACATGGGAGAAGAGAAACAGGGATGACAGCAGGATGGAGGACAAGGATAAGAGGGCTGCTGGGAGCTGGTGTCTAGAAAGTTCTAGAGCAGTTTAAGGAGCTACTGCTTATCATCAAGGTGGGAATCTTTGCTGAGAACACAGGAGCTGGAGGGGATACTGTGTGGTAGGCAGACACATCACTCCCCAGAGTGACCAGTGAGTAAGGAGTAGCCTTACCTTTGCTCTGGGGGGTGTCTCCCAGCCTTTCTGTGATTTTATAGAACTCAACCAAAGAAGTTAGAGGACCAGGGAGCACTAAGCAGCTTCACAGAGCATCTGGAAACCTATCACTCACATGCCGTGCAATGCAGTAGCTTGAGCAGCCACAGGGGCCATGGAGGCTGTGATCATCTGGAATGGAGATCCAGCTCATGGAAACACTGCTCTTGTATTGTATGGATTTCACATGCCCTTTCGTGGATGGAACAGGTTGAAGTTGGTCTGAAAGATTGCCAATGTCTCACCTCCCTCTGCTCTCCTCTCTCCCAGGTGCTGTTGTCTGGACTCATTGGTGTTGTCTCCTGGAAGAGGCCTCTCTCACTTGTGGTAAGTGGCATCTGGAGCTCCAGGTGGCCTTGGACAGTGCTTTGCCTACAAAGGAGTAAGCGTGGCAGAGGCAGTGGCAGCCAGCGTTCAGCTATTGGCAGGAGGTGGTGCATAGTGCCTGCTACATGCTGGTAGCAGACTTTTGTACATAGTGTCTGCTTGCACGATGAGGAGCTCTCAAGAACTGCTGTGCATTGGCATGCTTTACTTCCCTGCATGCCCCTTGAGTGATTCCTGAGACTGTCCTACCACACCCCTTATCTGTTGGTTTTGATGACATCCCTTGAAGACATACCGAGAACAAAGACATTTTGAAAGTCTGGATGCTGATTCTTTTTCCAGCCACTAAGATCTCTTTGTGCATGTGCAAATACTTACACAGGAGTATAGGAACAGCAGAGTTCAAGACATGTTAGTTTTGGGGACCTTTAGAAATTGCATGGATAAAATGTTCTTTCTTGAGTGGAATCATTACTGGGCAGGGCAAGGAGGCATGGGCCACACTAGGGGTGGGGAAGGATGATGGGTTTTCCCTCTGAGAAGTATCCCAAGCATCTCTGGGTGTATTGATCTGTAGCCTGGTCTTCTCAATGTATGCATTAATATATTGATGTGTCTGTGTCAGGACTAGAAGAAGAGCTTTGATGGGCACTGAACAACACAGTGTGGTTATGTTTGACTTTTGTATTAATCAATTATTTAAAATATTTTTTAAGTGATAAGGTTGGGAGATAATGATGCATACTAAATATTAATGGAAATAAGGGGAGAGACAAAATGTGTATGTGGCAGATACTTCCTTCATGCATGTGACTGTGATATCCTGAAAAGGTGTCAGGGCAGAGAGTGGCTTGAATTTGGTTGTGTTTCCTCTTGTGTAGTCTGGTTCACAGAAGAGATTTCCTTAATTTTTTTAATATAGAAAATTTCAAATGTGCAGAAAAATGGAGAGAGAGGTTGGCATAGTGAATCCTGGTACACCCTCCATCCAGCTTCAAGAACAACAAAACATACCTGGTTTTTCTTTGTTCTTCTGTATGCTCTACATGCCTGCTCCAAGCCCTTCCCTCTCTTGGATGGATGACCTTATGGCAACTCAAGCATGGGGATCAAGAAGCTGGCTTTGTGTAAGATGGGTTGGCAGTGCACATACTGGCTAGAGACCAGCTGTAACTTCTGAGCTGTCCTTAGCAACACAGGGACAGTCTGTTCCATTTCTCCACATACCCCCACAGGACAGACAGATTCAGACCTTGGATGCCAGCCACCTAGCAAAAGAAAACTATGTTCCTTAAGATGGATGTAAAAACATAGAGCTTTAGTCATCCAGCCACACCTACTTCCTCCACTTCCTGTCCTAGCCCCAGGATGGAGATCCTCACAAGGTGGCTAGGATTCAGGTGCATTAGAAGTACCTTATGGATGTGGCTCAGATGCACCCTGGGAAATCTGGAGAGGTTTTGGAGCCTGGTGCAGGGAGGAGGGGGGATGGCAGCAGCTGAGCCTGTAGAGGCAGTGTTCCAAGTGCTGGTTCCAGAGTCTTGCTGGGTGATTGGTGTAGGAGCAGCTGCTCTCTGGAAGGTGTTCACATTCACCTTGCCTTGATTGATCTCCTAGGGCCCAGCTGGAGGATGGAGGGCTTCACTAGGGAAATGCTAGCCACTGTGCCAAATCCCAGATTTTTAGTGGCTCTAAGCAGTGCAGATTTACTCCCATTGGCTCTCCAAGGCAGATGCTGCCCTTGGCAGATACTTTCTGAGGTTCCAGAGAGTGAGTCTTGACATTTGGGGTCCCCCTTCTCCCCATGCCTGTGGAGTCTCTGGAATTCAGTGCGGACACATGGGAGGTGGATTTGGGTCTACTTGGCCTAATACTTGGGCAAATCATATACATCATGCATATATCCCATGGTAAGAACTTGTCATTGTGCCATTTCTTGCTGCATAGAAGGCTTGCAGATCCTGCCTGTCTGAACAGACACTTCTCAGAGGCAGCTATACACTGTGGAGGGAGGGAAGTTGTGATGGGTAGCTATTTGTCTCTCCCGTAAGAATGCTCTTTTGTCTGTGCAGAATCCATGGATACAGAGACCAACTCTACATAGCTATGTGTCAGTCAGGGGTCCCCAGAAAATACAACATCTAGCTAATCTCTGCCTGCTCATCTATTAAGGCATTTACTTTAAAGAATCTCATGAGATTGTTAACAAGGCCAAAATCTGCAGCCTGGGCCTGTAGGCTAGTACCTCAGGGGAGACTGAGTGTCACTTGAGTCTGAAATCCAGTCCCTTCTCTTTGGGGGAAGGCATTCTTTTTTCTCATAGGGCTTTCAACTGATTGAATGAAGCCCCACATTAGGCAGGGCGTTCTGCTTTGTTCAAAGATTATTGGCTTAAAGGTTCATTTCATCTTAAATACATCATAGCAATATCAAAACTAGTCTAGCTAGGAACTATGTGCTTGCCACGTTGACATGTAAAAGTAGCTGACACTCAGGATTCTTCGGTGAATGAGGCCAAACACTCCATTTGCAGTAACATCAGTGAAATACTGTGGGTAATGATGGTGGCCATTGGTGAGTGTGATATGTGTGCTTCTCCTCCCAATAGTACAGACAAGAGTAGGTTTTGTGTTTTAGAAGAGAAGGGCCAATCTCCAAGCCTGAACACGAATAACTCATACTTGAACCCAAGTCTTTGACATCAAAATCCTCCTTTTTGCCACCCAACTTACCGTGGGCCTCATAGGCATCCCTTCTGCCTTCTGGCTTTCATCTAGCTACACACCCCTTGACTTACACATTACTTCTTGCCCTGCCACACCCCAGCCTGGATGCTGAAGAGTCGCATCCCCCCCCCCAACACCTTTGTCTTTCCATACTCATCCACAGGGTCTCACTTTCAATATAATATTTGTTCACTTGGCCCTCTCTTCTCTCTACTTTCAGCAGACCCCAGGCTGTTCTCCTGGGACCCTAAATGATCCTATTTACAGATCTTTGTGCCTGTTTGTTTTTCCCAAAGTTTCTTGGCATGTATGCTTGCACGCACACATGTGCACAGGCACACACACACACACACACACACACACACACACCAGTTAGTATATGCCCAGAACAGTACACCTAAGTCTGCATACTTTCTTTTGTTTGTCTGTGTAGCCCTGGCTGTCCTGGAACTCATTCTGTAGACCAGGCTGGCCTCAAACTCACAGAGATCCTCCTGTCTCTGCCTCCCTGAGTGCTTGGTTTAAACCAATAAACCAGTACCCAGGGGCTGCATGTTTTTAATAAAGAAAAACAGCCATATTTAGTTTATAATTTGGAGACAAAGTACAAAATATGGAGGTCTCACTGGTTCAGCCTCTGATGGGCTTCATGACACGTGGTATCGTGGTGGGAGTATGTGCAGGAGAGAGAACACGATGGACCAGGAAGTCAGACACTAGGGAGCAGCCAGCCTTCCCTTTCACAACAAGGCATTCTTGCTGCAAGACACATCAGGAGAATCATTAATTCCTTCTGAGGACTTAACCTCAGGGGCCTGATCTTCTCCACTAGGCTTCACCATCATCAAGCTGAGGACAAGCTGTAAGCCATGCACCTTGTTTACACACTCAAGCACAGCCACTCCATGGCACCCTGTAAAGCATCAGCTGTGTTGTGTTCATCGCTCCTTCTGTAAGACCCTCTGAATTTCTCCAAACCTAGACAAAAGAATTAAGTTTTGTATGTGATGGGTGAGTTTTGAGGTGAGGAGGAAGGTGAGGGGAGTCTTGTCTGGAGTCCTGTAGCTAGAATGCCTTGAAGTCGTTTTTAGTTATAAGCTTTCTGCTCCTCCCTTCCCCCTCCAACTCCTCCATCTCTCCCCTATTCCATCTCAAGTTAATGACCATTTTTTCAATTATTATTTTTACACACACACACACACACACACACACACACACACACACCCCTTGCTGAGCCCCTTTAGTGTTGCTCCTATATACATGTGTTTAGGGCTGACTACATGGGTTTAGATAACCTACCAGGGGTTCATCCCTAAAGAAAACTAATTCTCACTCTCTAGCAACTATTAATTGCCTGGAGTTCTTTACCTAGGGGTGGGGTCTTATGAGATTTTCCCCATTGTGTTGGCTGGCATGTCCATTGATGTTGTCATTGTAATATTTTGTTTGGGTGAGCATGTTAAGATGTAGTTGATGCAGTTTCGATCACATATAGCAAACACCATTTCACAGCAGAAAGTAGGGTTCTTTGGCTCTTACAATCTTCTGCCTCCTCTTCTGAGCCTTAGGCATAAGGGGTTGCATTATAGATGAATGAATCAGAGTTGAAACCGGTATAATTTCTAACTGTATTCTAAATACTTGTATTCTTATATCCACAGATCAGTGTAGCTCTCTCCTCTCTTCAAAGATTCTTCTTTTTGCTACCAATGGAGATGGTTTCAAAAGTCTAAACTGCCCAAAACATAGAGAACAACAATTCTTCAAGTCTTGATTTCCTTTCCCCAAGCCCCTGTGTTTACACTCTCCCTAATGATGACCCATCTTTCTGGAGGTGCAAACTGACAAGGTCACCGTGAGCTTTCTATGTCCATCACTGGCTTTTCTTCTCTGTGGTGACAGCCACACTGAGTTGACTTCTGTGAAAGGGGAGTAGTATCCATAGTGCTGGTTAGAAAGAAGTGGATAGATGCCTGCTGGAGACTCTGGGTGATTTCAGGGATGTGTGACCTTTCTGGAGGCAGGGATGGGTGCCTCCAGAGCCCTGTTGACAGCAGCATCCCCTTGGAGACTCTCCCTGAGCCGGTTATTAGCTGTGCTGTCTCTTTCATTGCATGGGTCTGAGCCTGTACACCAGCTGTGGGTTGAAGGACAGTGTCAAGACTTCTAGCAGAAAGCTGGTGACACACTGGAGGAAGGGTCTGTTATGTAGGAGGGGAAAGGACAGCAGCCACCTGATCAGCACTTGGGGAAGAAGGCCTTACAAGCATAGTA